TGCCGTAAACTATATCCCATTCTGCCGCCGCCGCCGCCGCTGCCGTGTTATGTGCTTTGTGCTCTTGTTTTGTTATTGTGGGGTTTTCAGTGTCTGAATACGTATTGTTTCGGCAGCCTTTATTTCCTTAAATCTTTGATATGGCAGAGATTTGCGGAAACTGTGATAAGCCTCTTCCTGACGATGGACATGCGATGAAGTAGTGCTCGGACTGTGGAAACGCCTACCCTTTAAACGAATGCTTCGGTTGCTGAGAGGCCACATTCTCTCTAAAAGCCTACCACTCTTCCTTTGAAAACATGCCGACGCTCCAAAAATGCAGGAAACCTTGAATGACACAGGAATCACTCAACGAAATCAAAAACGAAATCAGTTATATAAGGCATTAACCAAAACTAAAGACCCTGAGGTGTTCAAGGCGTTTAAGGAGTTTATAAACTAGTTACACAGCAGCTCTGAAAGGTTAAAAATGAATAACTACTACTGCAATTTAATATGACTGCGGGACGCTCTGCTGGGGGACTCGCTAGCTGGATTCCGTGCTGACCGGTTGTGCCCTCGCGATCTCCGGCGTCAGCGTAGCTCTGGCTGACTGGGCTCGCCCTACGTCATATCCTGACGCCGACGACCTTCGACGACAGTGTACCTCTGACCGACTAGACTTGCTCTACGCCATCTACTGACGCCGACAAGAGCTCTCGCAAGTGGTGCCCCGTCCTCGGACTCCTGTGACCGTGTTTCCATCTTTCTTATCTCTCCTATCCCCTCGATTTGTCGTCGCTCTCTCTGGCTTACCACCTCACGCCTCTTTCTCTTTTCTACACCTTTATTCCTACCCATTTAATCCCTCCTCACCACCATCCCTTGTGAGCTACTGTTGAGGTGTCACTCGCTGAAGCAGACAGTTATGGGGCTCACTTTTCTCTTCCTTTCTCTCTTGAAGAACCACTTAGAGAGCTCTGCTAAAATTTGGAAGACTCTAAATATATTGCTTGGGGAAATCACAGGAACAAACAAATAAGATATGACAAAACGGAGTAAAATTAATAGGTAATAATTTGGCAAACAGTTTCCACTTCTTTTTTACTCTTGGCCATTCTTTATATAATGATACAGATATTACTTATACGAATTCTTACACAGAACATACAATATTTCTTACACCGGTGTCCGACAATGAAGTTATCTTTTACGGTATTAGGCAACAGTAAAGCCAATGATGTGGCATGCATTCAAGTACAACCAGTGAAATATGTAATAGATATTCTGGCCCCCAATTCTAGCACGTACATTTAACCAAAGTTTGTCTTTAGGAATATTTCCACATGACATGCCAATTGCCAAAGTGACAGCGACATTAAAAAAGGGGGGATAAAAATGAAATGAGCAACTATAAGCCGATATTCATATTACCAGTGTTCTCTAAAGGTTTCGAAAAAATAATTTTAGAGCTCTTATCATATTTTATAGACTGTCATAATCTAGCTGCATCCAGCACAATTTGGTTTCCGTAAGAAGTCCATCGAGATTGCCCTCTTTGAACAGAAATAATTTATAAGATAAATTTGAATGTGACGAAATGATGCTTGGTATATTCTTAGATTTTTCTAAGGCTTTCAACCTTGTCAACCGTAGCATTTTATTGAGAAAGTCAGAAACTTATGGCATCAGAGGCATAGCACATTCATTAATTTCCTCATACCTGAAAAATAGAAGTCAGTCTGTAATTCTTGCGAGAGAAAGACCAGATGAAAAACCGGTCAGATGGGGTATTGCCCAGGAGAGTATCCTAGGACCATTTTTATTTTTAATTTATATCAAGGAAATTCCGACAATTTATGATACAGCCAAATTAATTATATACGCAGCTGACACCACTTTTTTTTTCAAGGAACTCAGAAAAGTGCTTAATTAATAGAGGTAATGAAGTGCTATTGAAAATAAATTACTGGATGACTCAAAAGCACTTAAAAATTAACATTAGCAAGACAAAGGCAATATTGTTTCGACCACGAAACAAGACCATTCAACTAGCACCAATAACGTTAAATAATGTAGAAATTGAGTTTGTACCATAAATAAAAACTTCACTTTTTTTTTTCAATGAGCACGACACGGAATGGCCACATAAATGATTTAACTGGCAAACTATTTAGAACAATAGGTGTGATGCGTGTGTCTTTTGAATTGCCTAAAAACATGAACAAGCTCTTGTATAATGCTTTCTTTGTACCAATACTTAATCATGGATTGCTAGTTTGGGGTACTACTAGCAAACATTGATAAGCTCGCAGTTTTACAGAAACGCGTGATTCAGTTAGCATGCAAGGTTTCATACCTCTCACACACAAGTGACCTTTTTATGAGACACAACATTGTCCCGGTAAAGTTCATCTTTAACTATAATCTATGTCGTCCATATAAGTTAACATAATGAAGAAATGTAGTGCTCTACAAACGCTAGCAAATTTACAGGCCACCCTAATAAAGTATAATATATGCAAACCTGAATAATGGCAAATTAAGAAATGTCGCACTAACTACGGTTAACAAATGCTTAGGTTGACGCTACCAGCTTTGCTAAATAGAATCATTAAAGAGCAGCTTTTTAAAATTCCAGAAACCTGATTTAACGAAATGCAGAGACTTTTCACTTCAATATACCATACTTACTTGTGTAATGAACGCACTCGCATAATGAACGCACCCCCCAATATCAGTCATCAAAATTTGAATTCCCCCCCCCCCACCCCCGCGTAATAAACGCACCCCCTACATTCTTCCGCTGCAGTCCCGCCAACCGACATCTGGTGCCTGCTCACCCGTTGGATCTCTTTCATTTTTGATTACTTTGCCAACCCCCCTCAATCACCTCAGCTCACTCCCCCCCCCCTTTCCCCGGTGCTGCCTGCTGTAATAAACGCATCCCCTACATTCATCCGCTGCAGCTAACTGACACCTGGCACCTCATCACCCATTCGCTCTCTTCCGTTTTTTATTACTTTGCCGACCCCCCTCGCTCAGCCACCCCGGCTCGCTCCCTCCCCCTCCCCCTTTCATCATCACCATCATCATCAGCCTGACTACGTCCACTGCAGGGCAAAGTCCTCTCCCATGTTCCGCCAGTTAACCCGGTCCTGTGCTTGCTGCTGCCAATTTATACCCGCAAACTTCTTAATCTCATCTGCCCACCAAACCTTCTGTCTCCCCCCCTAACTAGCTTGCCTTCTCTGTGAATCCAGTCAGTTACCCTTAATGACCAGCGGTTATCCTGTCTACGCGCTACATGCCCGGCCCATGTCCATTTTCTCTTCTGATTTCAACTATGATATCCTTAACCCCCGTTTGTTCCCCAATCCACTCTGCTCTCTTCTTGTCTTTTAAGGTTACACCTACCATTTTTCTTTCCATTGCTCGCTGCGTCGTCCTCAATTTAAGCTGAACTCTCTTGGTTCAGCTTAAATTGAGGACGACGCAGCGAGCAATGCTCCATAGCTTCTGCTCCATAGCTTCTGCTATGGAGCATTGCTCCATAGCTTCTGTGGAGCAATGCTCCACGCTTCTGCTCCATAGCTAAGTACCGACAAGATACAACTGTTATATACCTTCCTTTTAAGGGATAGTGGCAATCTACCTGTCATAATTTGAGAGTGCTTGCCAAATGTGCTCCATCCCATTCTTATTCTTCTAGTTACTTCAATCTCGTGGTTCGGCTCCGCGGTTATTACCTGCCCTAAGTAGACATAGTCTTTTACAACTGGAAGTGCACTACTACCTATCTCGAAGCGCTGCTCTCTTCCGACTCTCACCTTTTGCCACGTGCCTATTGTTTTTCTTTCAGCGGTGCATGCGAGTGTAGAGTCATCACACCTGATACACACACAGCGAGCGAAGGTCACCAAACTGCCTACGCCAACCGACGTCAGTCCCTTCCTGCAAACTCACCTCCCCCTTTCTTTTATAGCCAACTTTCTTTTTTCTTCACTCTAACTGTCCCTTCACTCCCCCTTCCCCTGTGAGTGCACGCTCTTGGGCGCCCCTCCAAATCACAAGCAGATACCACTGTTGCAATTAAATCATTGCGAGAAAAGATAGTCCAAAGGGTTCGTGCACCCGAGGGACAGCTTGCAGAAGATAGCGCTATCAACCACCCAAAATGAGTAAATTGCAACAACGAAGCTGTTTCCATACAGTGTACACATATATAAATTGCAAAAGGCTAAGCGACCTAACTTTTTTTTTTTTTTTTGCATTGCCGCATTTGTTCCTTCTTCCAAAAAAGTTTTCATAAAATTTACCCCGCGTAATAAACGCACCCCCCCCCCCCAACTTTGCTCCGATTTTCGAGAAAAAAAGTGCATTCATTCCGGTACTTCACATGAACTTGCCTCCTAAACAACACCATCTATTTCTTTTTCGTTGTTTTTTCAAGAGAAATTTTTTTTTAATGTTCTTTCATAATGTCTGTGAAAGCACGATTTTTTTTTTTTTTTTTGCATGGGGATATTCATGTGCAGTATAATATGTGTGCCTTTCATTTCCTGTTCTTTGTTCGTTAGCACCATTCACGCTGTAACGCGTGTAGGGTGGCCAGGACAGCCTCCAGCTGATTGCATCAGCTTTTTTCCCCTGGTCTCCCACAACATTTTTGTTGTTGTAAATAAATAAATAAAGCAACCGAGACATGTTGCACACAGCTTCTTTTCAAAAAATTTACAGCCCTCCTTTGCCAGAAATACTTTTAGGGGAAAGAATTTTCTACACTTTACTGTTTGCAATGCCTGAACAAGATGCTAGAAGAATCAAACTAGTAAAAAAAATGTTAAAAGTCAAAATGGATAAGAGCTGAAGGAGCTGTAACTTAAGTTTATAATACCGACTGCATTGTAGAAATTCAGCCAAAAATGAATTCTCGAATATACGAAACATTGTTGCAACACAGAGTGTCACGGCTGCTAGTGACAACAACTTTCTTCAAGGCTGTACTTCAGCACACACACCCGCTGAAATGCCAGGTGGCACCACAGATTGAAAGAGGCTTCAGCTCGGCCCTCTATAGCGCAGCTTGGGTTGTACCTTGAGTCCATCCTGAATTTCGTTGGCGAAGTTTTCACCCCAGATGCTCTCACCTCCTTTTCCCGTACCTGCAAAAAAAAAGGGAGCTTTGCAAATGAATGATCGTTTCTTGTTTAGACGTCATTCTCTTCATGTTGTTTTATTCCCATTGATCATCATCATCATCAGCTTAACTAATGTGATGAGAGAAGTGCACGAGTATTGTGTATGGTGTCGTGACAAAGCCAACTTGCAGGTAGCGCACGAAGCCATCAGAGGCATTAGAAGAAGACGGAAATTAGCACCAGTTTCGTGCTCTTTTTCCGTGTGTTGCTTTGCGCTAATAATTTTTTTCCTTCAGAAGTCATGAACCAACTAGCCATTTTGATAAGCCATGATCTCCCATGCATCCCTCAACTTGACTGTCCGACGACTTTCTATGATCGCCACTAAAAATTGAGCCCCTCAGTTTTGGACTCAATGTTATGCTACTCTTCTTAACAGAATTATTCTCACCAGTAATCTATTAAATACAAATTCCCTCCAGGCTCATACTGAAAGAAGAAATAGGAATGAATGGAGCATTTCTAGTTACCTGTAGGGTCGCCTGTCTGCACCATGAAGCCCTTGATGTTGCGGTGGAAGAGGCAGCCATTGTAGTAGTCTGAAGCACAAAGGGCCAAGAAATTCTGCAATACACAACAAGATACTGAAAAATTTGTATACTTGGGCCTTCGTAAACCTCTTGGGCATCACACTGGCCTATACAGTTTTCGAACAGTGGTATGGAAAACTGAATGCCAGTGTACTCTATCAGAGTAGTTTTTTATTTATTAACAGAAAAATACCAGAAGGTAGTGCCATCATTTCCATTTTTCAATGCAGAGTTCACGTTCGTTTACACGATAGAAATTCATGCATTTTGAAGGACTTTCAAAGTTATGTCTGAATTTTCAAGCATCATATTGTCTGTTGGAAACCCAATTAACACGGGTTCAGGAAAGCATAAATGCTGGAGATGACTGTAATTCATCAAAAAAGGGCAAGATCACTGGAGCAAACGTCAAAGCATAGCTCCAATGACATTTTCATTTTAGACAACTTTCAACCATAGTTTCTTATAGTTGCATAGGTAATGAGTTACAGCAAACTTATTCAGACATAAAAAATAAGGGCCAAACAATGAAACATTCCTTCGACCGCATCCTCACTTTACGTGAGACCTCCTTACAGTGAAGTACCAACAGAAGAACCAAGTGTACTCTGAAAGCTCCATTCACCCGTCCTCGCGGGAGAAATGATTGCTGCACTCCTGCATTCGAGATTATCGAATATAAGCTTAGGTTACAAGCGTTTATTCTGTAAAAAAAAGTTGGGTCGCCACATCGCTTCCAAATTGAAGTGCTAATATAGAGACTAGTGTACGCTTTTTTCGAACTACGATTACTAAATGTGAAAAGCCAGCGTAGTCGAGCGCGAAACATGGTATGGTCTAGCGACACTGAAACACCCGCCCCTTTAAACGATATAGAGGCTAAAAAGATTTTCCTACTGTCGTTGGAGAGGCTGAAAAAATTTACGATACAGCCTCCGGAGGGTGGTGGCGCGCTTCGTCCGTGCACATCAGCCCACACCCTGACAAGTTCCTAGCGTTCAAAGCAAGTATTGTGATTGCATTATAAGCATGTTGTGTTCACCACACATGGTGCCGATTAATTTTAAACAAGGAAAAAAAGGTCTGGGGAGCAGTCTTCAGAACGCCACATGCCTCTCGCCATCAACCTCCACTCACCAACGTGCCAGCAACGGACAGTTTTGCCACGCGGTACACACAGTTTCTCCGCCGCCACTGGGGAAAGCGTGCGTTCACGACACTACAAAAACCATCACGTGAGCTAGCTGTGAGGTGAAGCGCTCGTTTAGAGCCAGGAGCGGACCTAAGGGCATACCAAAGGTAACCCCACAGCAACCTTAAGCTGAGGAAAAACCAAGGGCTCCTCAGTGAGGAAGCTTTCAGAGTTGCATAAAGCGGCCTCACCAAAATGAAGGCTTCCTTAATGACAAAAGGAACATTTCGTTGTTTGGCCCTAAGGAGGAGTTATTATTTATCCAACGCCTTGTTTCTGAATTTTCACACCAGTATCCACTATCTGCCGCTGCTTGGTCTTGGCAGGCTTCCTAAGGCTGTTTGACTTTATGATGCAAGTCAAGTCACTGTCTCTGCCTTCTCTGCATATAAGACTGCTATAGCTGTTAATTCCTTAGCAGCAGCTTTTAGTTTTTCATCTTTTTTGAAAGCATTTCTACCTGCTCCTCAATGCAACATTTCTTGTTCTGCTTGTTATCCTCCTGCTACAGCCTTTTCCGAGTTTCCAGAAATGCACGGTGATGGTTCGGTACAGAAGCTACTGATATTCTCAATTCTTTTGCGATGCGCACATTACATATGCCACCTATTATATTTGCAGCATCACCAATAATGTGCCGTGCATTGTGCGAGAATCATTATTTTTAAAAAAATGAATATTCAAAGATTCTCAAGATTTTTAAAAATTCCACCATTTTCAGAACCTTGAAAACGAACTCAAATTCAGGGGTTTTCAATGATTTCAAGGACCCACATGAATCCTGTAAATAGCCAGTGTCTATATTTTAGACTGAGTACATCGCTCAACGGTTTACCAAAAGTTCTCTCCCCGCGATCCCATGTGAGCTTCTCTGCGGGAGCGTGCTTTTGTTGTGCACCAGGTCATACATAGTAGGCTGTCTGCCCATGTAGTTGGTACTCCACATAAATGTGTGGCTCTTTTTCTGGTCGCTGCTACTTTGCAACAGAAGAAATGAGTCTGTTCTCCAGTCACAGTCAAATTTACGATGAACTGGCGGCCTCATAATACCAGAGATGCCAGCCTCAGGCGTCCTTTGACTCCTCAAGTTGACCAGCTTCTGGCAACTGGAGACATGATCTTCAATGTTGGAAACAAGTTATTGACATTCGCTGAGCTGGAGGAGAAGATTTCACAGTATTCAGCTGCCAATTACAAGCAGCTATGAAACACACGGAAAACTCAAGCTGCAAAAAAAAAAAAAAAAAAACAACGGGTCAGAAAAGTTCTTGTTGGAATGCCCGATGGTCTTGTACAACAGTGAGTGAAATTCTGCTGAATTAAAGAGGAAACAAACTCACAACAAAGGCAACTGAACAATCATCAGTGCAAGTGAATTTCCATGCTCGCTGGAATGAGCCTGAGAAATCCGGTTCATCATATAAGCATAGGATTGTGAGATAGTGCATTGTGAATATGCGAATTATTATCTGATTGTGCTGCTCTGTGTTGGCTTTTTATGTTTTTAATATGGGCTTGTCCGTGAGTGCTGGTTGCTCCATTCATGGCAGCACCACAAATATGGAGATTTGCCCCAACCATGCCTAACTGTGATAGCGTTTTGAGTGTGCTGTTCATAGGATTTGTGCCTATACATGTAGGGTGCAACATTACCAATAATTGCTGGTAACTTAAAAAAAAAAACATTGCAAACATCATTGCTCAGTTCTCCTTCTTGTACTTTTGGAGCAGGACACTCAAGAAGGACTGCACATTCTACATTTACTTGTAGCTATCAAGGATGGAGCACACCTGGAAGCCAGGAGCCTCTCTTTCACCCACTACCACTATATCTCAGAAACCATTTTCAGACACATGGCCCCCCCCACCCCAAGAAAGCTCCCGCCTTAAAAAAAGCAAGACGCATGCTCCAACTTGAAGCAAACAAAATCTTGTAACAGACCAAATAGAAATGGAAAGTTGCAAAGTAGTTACACTAAAAGACCTTGACAACACTGCAAAAAAGGCAAAAAGTCAAAAATCACAACCTTCAATCAACAGTCTCGATGCCCCAGAATGAATATGTTGCTTCAGTGTGTCATGATTAAAGGAGAGGCACGAGGCGTGTGCCGAACGTGAAAGCGTGGCGAGGGTGCACGAGGAGAAAGAAGTCACCCGAGGGCACGCGCACCTGCCACGTCCATGCAGGAGATTGGTCGGAAAAAGGCCTGTGGCACGCGACCTCAGCCGTGAAGAAAAATCCCAGAGGATAATCTGGCACGTACGTTGGGGCTCCGAACTGCAAAGACGTGGGAAACTAGCATCGCTAGAGAGACGGCAGCAGCATAGCCACTCGGTTCTGAAGGATGTCGGCGTGAGAGGCCCAAGAAGTGGCCGTTGACCTCGTAGGTGCTCCCGAGTGAGGCTCCTCGGACTTGCCACAACTTTTCCCAGCAGTTTCTGGTGAAATTGCAGCTATCCCACATCGCACTAGGACGGGAGCAGCCAACGCCAGTCACCAGAGTAGACCCGTCAGCAGCAGAGGCCATGACGAGTTGAGCCTAGTGAGACCGAAGATTGAGACGAGGACCGGGACACCGGCAATGAGGGCGAGCGGTTCGTTCGGCGGGATCAACCAACAGAGACCGTAAGAAGTGAAGCAGCCCATCGACGACGGAGGACTTGACTAAACGTCGACACAGCCAGTGGTAACGAGACGAACTGTAAGAACATTTCATTATAGACGCCATATCGCCTTAGGGCTAGCGGCTAGGGCTAGCAATGAATTTTGACTGAGCTACAGCCAGTTTAGGTTTGCTCATGTATGCGGATTGTTATTGAGTGTTATTGAGTTACTGAGTGCTTTAGCGCAAATTCTGTGTATTAGTTTTGTCTGCTCAGAGTATAAAGTTTGTTTGTCTTACCCTGCCCATCTCCCGTTTTTCTCAAATTCATCCATAGAAGATGGCAATGGCCGGGGAGAAATTGTGGCCAGTGGCCAGGGAGAAATCGCCTTTTTGCCCCTGAAAATGCTGAAACACCTTGGATGGTTTTTGAATATGTTCAATAAGTTTCACAATTGCTAGCCGAACATTCATGTGACCGTGCATGACAAAGACTTTACAGAATGCAGAGTTGTGAATTGTGCCCGCAATATCGCCACATATATGTGCATTTCATACTCTCCAAATGTTATTCCGTGAGGTCAGCACAAAGCAGCTTAAAGGGACCCACAACTGGCCAGAACGGTTGATTAGATTCTGGTGGAAAGGAAAAGAGTGCGAACTATGGTGAGGTGACAGCACACTTTTCGCGATCTGAGTAGAATTTGTATGTTTAAATGACGTTTAAAAGTAACCAAAACCAGCATGTCTCGCCCCTAGCACAAGAGCTATGGGCCACAAATATGAAGTCCTAATATTGCTGTGATTAGTTACTGCACACTGCAATAAAAGTTTAAACTCCGAATATGTAGTATGTTATTGTTCATTTCCGTTTGTTTCTATTCAGCTTAGAAGGTAAAAAAAGTAGAGCATGAAAAGTGGCACTGCTTTGGTGGCCTCTGCATGGAAACGGCTGCACTTGCCCATGCACACGGCCTTGTGGCGTTTCCAGAGTAGCTCGACTCTTGTCGCGTCGGGCGCATTGGAAGAAGCATGCGAGCTTGTGAATGTGATCGCTGCGGCACGCGAAAAGCCGTCGACCTACTGCTTTGTGGACAATCACTACCAATTCATGCGTGCTGCTGGTGATGGCTATGGTGGCGCTACATCGGATTCATCGCTACGGCTGTCGTCCGTCGAAACATGTCTCTCTTGCGTTACTTGATAGGGATCCTGATTTTGCACTTGCATGCGAGCTAA